TCATTTACCTATGTAACTATGCCACATAAAAAATGGTTGGCAGAATTTTGATTGGAAGGAAAACGTGGATAGATACATGCAGGTAGGCTACCATCTAACAACTCTTGACCAACACCAATTATCATTTAGTTTTTGTTTAATGATCCAGCAAAATTAAACCAACTGGACAGAGGGTCTTACTTGTGAAATAAGCCTGTAGTGCTAGTTGAAAGATTGTAAAAACATGTAAAAATGGATACTTAATCCCATGATTTTGGCTCTAAAGTTCCGTGATGAAGAAACCACTGACCAACAGAATTACTGTAATCTTGATTCTTGACTATGGCCATATTACAAAACTTGAAGAATCTCCACCATACAAACTCTGTGTAAGTATAAGTTACTATTCTCCTCTCTAGTCTAACAGTGTAGTTAGGAAATGATTTACAAATGTACAAATAAGATGATGATGTTGAAAGAGAACTCACTCCTATACTCACTAAAGTTTATCAAAGAAGTAATAGCTTTGTTAAAGGATACTTTAGAGAAAGTACTAACCAGATTATAGAAGTTAAACTATGTCTGAATGTCTGTCACATAATAATATAATTGATAATTTGTTCAGGGTAGTTTCAGACTTGATGTCTTTAATGAGCAACTGTACTTAGACAGTTCTGATACTATGAATGTAAATGAATATTTGAATTAAAGTATTATATGTATTCTGAATCTCTGCCTCTGAGTCAATTCTTTCTTTTTTCTAACTGTAAACTTCCTCGAGTTCGTGACTTGTGTAATCCACTCATGACTACATACCTAGAATAAAATAAATTCATTTGTAACTTGGTGTTAAAGTCGAACCCCAAACGACTAGCCTACATAGTCTCCCATTACATGAGTTACCATGTCTGTTCTGTTATTCAGTTACTTGATCAGTTAACCATGGAATTACAGAAGTTTATAAGTAAGTTAGACATACTTCTCACAGTTTATATTGAAGAGTTTTTTTATGAAATTAGGCCTACAACTGGATGTGACTGTAGTAAATGCTTATTGAAGAAATAAGTTTAATTTGTTATTATCCAACTATATATATATATATATATAAAATAATCAAACATAAGGGAAATGTTCAAAATCAAAGTGAAATTTCTGCATTAGCTGAACATGCAAGTCATACTCGTCATATCACTCTGTGGGAAAAAAGTGTTATCTTGGCTCAACTGAATGATATGACTTCTAGGAATAACAGAGAATCTATTGAAATAATTAAACACAATAACAATGGTCAAACTTTGAATAAAGATGAAGTGTTAGCAGGTAAAAAAAATACACAGATGGCATGACCTTCTTTAGAGTTTACCGTATATTTATGTAGTGGTATGAGTCACATGATTAACAACCTTAGTATAAATAGTTTAGCTTTGTAACGGTTGTTTTTAGACTTAGCACTTCCGAGGATGATGTGATACATGTTGCAACATGTAGAGTGGTTGTTTTTAGACCGTTAAACAGTCTCAGAATAAAGATTTTAATTTTGTAAGTTAAAAACATTGATCGTTTGAAAATGTTTTAATTTTTTAATGTTGCAGTATTATTAAAATTTGTTGCCTACAGAAAGAACCACAAAACACTATGAAGAAACGATAATTCTAAAAAGAACCACAAAACACTATGAAGAAACGATAATTCTAAAAAGAACCACAAAACACTATGAAGAAACGATAATTCT